TGAAATTTATGGAAAATTGACTGTTCCAATTAGCAGGTTAAATTTTCAATATGGGGTGTTCACTGTTCAGGTTTGGAGGTGTTCCACTTACAGAGATTCAATTAACATTAAGTCAATTGGTTTCTAAAATGGGACTTTGAAAAAGTGTTCCACTTGCGAGGAGGTCCACTTATAGAGGTGTTCCACTTAGCACGTTCTACTGTACTCGTACAAGAGAGATATACAGGGTGGTCCAAAAAAAGTGAACCCCTGCATCGGGCCATATTTCTCTTATTACTTGCAGGAATTCTTTTATATTTTCACATGTTGTAGAGGAAGGTCTAAAATTTATGTTGGCACCATACATTTTTCTTAGTCTTAAAATTTGCAGAAAGTATAAGCCCTAACCAAATATTAATGTAAATGGATAAAATGTGATTTCCAATATCCGCGATTCTTCAACCCTTGCCCTGACATTGTTTAAGCTGCAGTCTTAACTCTTTCGACTGGTAATTAGCAAATTTGCTACATTGCTAAGTTTGGTAATTAATTTCCTGAAAATTGTCTACTTTTGACCGATTTTATTCAAACAGTCATAACTTTTTATCTAGCAATCAGATGTTGATGAAATTGTCAGTACATGCTGTCCATATATTGTTCTAACATTTCAAACCATCATAACATACAAATTCTAGCGTATAGATTAGCAATTACATCATTGATCATGATATCAATGAGAAAAATAGAATAAATTCAAATAATATTGTATGTGATAATAAAAATAAAATTATACCATCCAAAAATAAAATTAAATCATAATTTTCACCTCGTTTTATCAAGTATCGTTTTCACTGTCCAAATCATTGAATATTTGATCAAAACTGTCCTCGGTAGCCCTAATACATATTAGAGTACGAGCTCTAGCAGCAGCCATTTTGAACCCTCTTTTCTTTATTTCAAATAATATTAGAGAAAACATCGGTTTATTCTATGAAAAAGTCACGAAATATCATTAACTTCCTTTTACGTAAATGTTTCGTCCTGTACAAACATAATCCACAAGGTTAGACATAGCCTGACATCTATAAATACAACAAAAAACTTATTAGTAATCTTTTCTCACTTTTTTCAATCTTGAATCCCGCACATTATGGCTTAAAACTAGAATTCTACATTTGTTTAGTTGCAAAGTTTTTGTGATCCAAAGAAATGTTCTATCTTCCATAGTAAATAAGATTTCCAATGAAATCGCAAACATACCCCTATATGATCTTCGAAATGTCAATATCTTCATAAGTCATGGACCGATTCAAATGAAATATGGCTTGAAGTACCCCCGTGTAAAGACCACGTGCAGTATGGCAAATGATTTTAGACGGTCATATCTTTCACCATGAGTACTTTCTGGTCATAAATACAGTGTTTTTCATTAAAACAATATGTTTTCTTTCAAGTGAAGTACCGGCATGATGATAAAGATATGAATAAAACAATTCGAAAAATTACGAATAGGGACCCCATGTCAACATTTTTTTTTATTAATCAAAAGAGGAACTTCGTTTTCTGATTTTTATTGCATGAAAACATTATCACTCTTAAAAATGAATTACTTGAGTATTTCCCAAGTATAAAAATTACTTAAAGTTAAATACTTAGTTTTACTTCATTTTACTTAGGTTTAACTTATATTGTCATTTTGAGTTTTTTAATTGCTTAATTATGTAAATGAGTATTACTACAGTAAGTATCTCAATTTCTCTCCTTGCATTAGTAAATTCACCATAAATGAATTACTTAAAAATTACCTAAAAATTATTCAGTAGTTCAAGATTATTTATAATAAGTAATTTTTGACTTAAAATGAGTAGTACAATTTCTCAATATATATATATCAATTTTCGATGACCAAAATTATGCTGAAAACTATGGATAGCACGAGTTTTCCCTATGGAAAAATAACATGGGATGTGTGTTCTATGAATGTTCATCTATCTGGTAGTAATGTACAAAGTTGTTGATTTTCTTTCTCAGAGATATTTCTTTTTCTTTTTGACGTTTCGTAGGATGTCCATCCTACTTCTTCAGAAATAAAATTATATTTGAATAAACTGAAATAATTAATTATGTATGGGATATGTGGTTTTTAACCTTAACCCTTTTCAGAAATTGTTAATATAGTGTAGAGGAGACTTTCGATATTTCAAAATTGAGAAAAAGAAGATCCTCTTTTTGAAAAAATAAGCCTAACATTTTTCAAAAAGTGCCAAGGTGGGACCCTAATCCATAATTTTTCAGAAAGTTGGATTGATATTTTACTATCATGGGGACTTCACTTGAAAGAAAACATATTGTTTTAATAAAAGCCATTGTATTTATAGCCAGAAAGTACTCATGGCGAAATATATGACTGTCTAAAATCATTTGCCATACTGCACGTGATCTTCTCAGGGCCATGCGTCCTCGTTACATACTTCAATATGTTTGATGATATATTTACCTCTTGTTCCAGTGATTTTTCTAGTTTAACTCCATTTGATGATTCAGGAAATATGCTAATAAAACAAGAGAAATAATACTTTATTTAGAATTCATTTTTTTGCATAAATAACAGGCTTGTTGTGATATATTCGTCTTTGATTTTATTATATGGAGTACAATACCCGTTCGCCCTAAGAACTTCTAGGCTTCAATATTAACTAGTTAAAAATCAAAATATTCCGATCTAATTGGAGCAACGAATCGTATAGATGGCAGTTAACGACTAGGTTGTTGTTCACATCTGGCCAATTTAGACTAATTGGTTTGTGTGTAAATATTGCTGTTTTCAAATTCACTACATTTATCAAATAAATGTCAAATCTTCCTTCATTATTATTTACAAACATGTTTTAAGATTGGACATTTTCAATAACATTTATTAGATTAACAGATTTTTAGAGCAATCTTACATGTTAAAGTATGCTATTAAACCCACTGAATTCTATGCCATCTATTGACAGTCCTGAAGGCCTTACGGAACTATTACGGAACTACCTGAAACAATGGATATAGCACTTACAACATATAAACGAGGAATATCGCCATTTTTTACCCACCGCCATCTCTAAAACTAAATTGAAAAAGCTATAAAAAGGCTAGCCCCGCCGGATTATTGAAAAATGTTATTTTATCCACTATTAGAGAACGAACACAAATGCATATTTCGACACATTCTCAGGGCTATATAGTACGAATACAAGTGCTGTATAACTTTCTCCAGACGGTAAGAGCCGTGACAAGCCAAGAGAAGAGAAATGCAATGAGGAATCGGCTGATCGCAAACACGATATAGTTAGGGAAGTAGGCCGATCCAATTGCGATAACAAGGTGCGTAACTAGGGTGACGAAAACCACAATCTTTCTTCCATATCTACATTTTTTAGAATTGTTAAGGGAATTATCAGATCTATCGAGCAATATTATTAAAATTAATAAAAGTTAGTTGTTCCATTTTGTTATAAAGACACGACGTCTGCTCCTCGGCATTGACTGTTTCTACATGAACTTATTTTTATTATCAAAAAATTGTAACTACCCTGATACCTTCAAAGGGATACATGTAGTTGCCACCTAAATGCATGAAATACTGTCATGGATTCAATATGTCTGATTAACGCTTTTCAGAAATTACCCCAATACCTTGAACTGTCATCACTACTTTCACAACGTTCTCGAAAACGGGCTTCAACTGTGTACGAACGGACTGGACCTACTAAGAATCGTTTGGGATCTATTTACAAACTTCATCGAACGTACTCGAACGGGTAGGTCCTCTAGAACTTAGACAATGCTCAAAATGTTCTCGTGGTCGTCACGTTCTACAATTAGAACGAGTGACAACGTACTAACGACGAGCTGGACGTACTACGAACGGAACCGTCGTACTTCAATCCTAATAGGGACGTTTTAACAACGAGTTGAACTGTCTGAGGATGTGTTGAGAACGAGGTAGAACTAATTGCAAACGGGTTTAAACTGATTTAGAACATATTTAACACTGCTTGTGAACGAATTAGCAAAAATATAGCTATCACACCAAACAAGTTGCCACTGCGTTCTTCAAAACTGGTTTTAAACTGTGTGCGAACGGAATGAACGAAGCTGCAACTTTCTAAGGTCTCTTTACGAACTTTATGAACGTTCTCAGACGGGAATGTGATTTTAGAATATTGAATCGAAATTTGAATTCGATGCCGACCATACCGTTCTGTAATCAGGTCATGTTGACCTTCTATTCTAAGGGACGCGTTCTACGACGTTGCACACCGACGTGGTGCGATCTGAACGAACTGCGAACGAGATGGACGTATTGAAGACTGTTTAAGAACAAAGAAGCTAATTATTTCAGACATATTTTCCGACCACAGCCAGATTGAGCCCGTTTTACGGCGTTTTCGTAGGACTGGCAAGAACGGGTAAGAACTAGTTTGGTGTGATAGGGGGGTAAGTTATGTTTTATATGTAAAATATGAATGTTTTCTTACCATGTAGCATCTTGGTATCTTGCATAAATATTTTAGCACATATAAAGACATATGTTGTCTTATAGCCTCCGACTGTGTCTTAACTTTCTTATGCTGTAGTCATTCGTCCATCCAGCCATTCCAAGGTTAAGGCCAACTTGATGTCATTATGCGTCATAGGCCTCAGGTGAACTTCCATATTTTCTAATATTTTCAACCACTGAACGTCTCTTGATCCTTACATGAACTCGGATAGTAAGCGTGGCCTTTACATATGTTGTATGCCTCCCAGCACATACTATAGGACCAACATAAAACTGATAAAATCAGCAGGAAGCTGATAAGATTGGACTTAAATTGGACTTAAGGATTTCCCATACAGTGTGTAGATCTTCCCTCTGCACAAAGAGGACGTATATTTGTCTAAATCATTAGTTGAGTAAATGTTGTACTATTAATTTAGGGTCGAGAATGTGCAATGTAAAGTGTAAATGCAAAACAATACTAATTATGTTTATAGGTTGTTTTAGTGTATTTAATTTTTTCTATATTGCTGTACAACAAGAAAAATATTCATCTTAGTACAATGAAATAAAATTAGAATGTAATACTGTTGCTATGAGTGATGTCATTTGGACGAAGAATTGTCAAAAATCAGCTAGAAAGGCCGATCATTACAGGTACATGCACCACTATATGTTAAATACAGACGTGGACTAAAGTGATTAACACATCGATGTTATTTAGTTATAGGTAAAATTAGTCAAACAGACCGTTAAACATCATGACGACGGAAAAATCAACAAAAAACAACTATCGAATCAACGATTCGTTAAAGGGTGACGCATATCGTTTAGCAAATCGAACGCTCGTTTCTGGTGTTGCTCACCGTTTAGTATAAAAGGCCCGATCCCGGAATAATACTCAAGGGTTCACAGGTTCGATGTCGTTGTGTCAACACCTCTAACTGTTATATAGCATAAGTATATTATAGATCGTCACACATTAATAAAAGGGTGATTTTTATTTTGACAAATCAATTCCAAATTTATGGGTGAAGTTTCAGGATCTTCTATTTGTGTATAATAAGGAAAAATTGGCATCTAAATTTCCCCATAACGTAATAGCACACAGCTTGGCATATGAAATATCCTACAAATGAAACAAAACAGTTCTAATACAAGGATTCATATTGGCTGTTGAACATGTACTGTTTGAACGCAAACACGGGATGCTTATCGGAACCCTTTAATAACGATTTGTCAATTTGTCTCCTGAGAGGGGGGTGCTGCCTTTTGTATTGAGGCCCTATGTAGGTGAATGCAGATACATTCAGGCATCTACTTGCCCTTCTTCACTTTCTGTGGTTCTTTTGCTGAAAATATACAAAAATATACAAATAAGACTATACACCAATCTACATTTACCTTTAAAATCTAGGGAACGAAAGTGCAATTTTGGATTCCGGTTGCTAAAGTTACGAAGAGGTTCAATGTGTGTATTGATATAATGCAAATAAAAATAAAGATAATTCAACAGATATAATATACAATTTACAATATATATAATTTACCAGCATCTTCTGAAGTGCATCTTTCTGTATTGTTGCGAGTTAAGCGTTTCTGCATCGTCTATCGTTTCTAATAGATCACTATCACGTGTTTCCGGTAGCCAAAGAGTAGCCACACCAGCTAAAGCGGACACAGCACCAAACAAGACCATTGGAACACTCTTATTGGTCGCACCTCCCTGAACATAATGTAAAAAGCATATGGGTGTAGTCAGGTCATGAAGCAGTCGAGGCCTCGGCAAATATTGCACAAACAGGATGATTCAGAGTTTTTCTGCTTATTGAAATTGTGAAACATTATGACAACGTAGTAAACGAGTGAATCGAATTGGTGTGAAAGACATGATGTACTAGGTAACCAAAATTGTATTCAAATAGTAATGAGGCAAAAACTAATACAATACGATGTACATCAACATATATGTACCAGGTATATGTTATTAAGAATACAGACGTTAACATCATTTTACTTACGAGAAGAAGTACATATGGAGCAATTGTTGATCCGATCCTTGCCACAGCAGAGCCTGTTCCAGTTGCGTATGCTCTAAGAAATGTAGGGTATGCCTCTGGGGTGTAAATCCACACTATATTGAAGGCAGCAGCTATTGCCAGCTTTCCAGTCATAGCAAATGCAATAATCACGTATTCTAAAGCTGAAAGAAAACTCGATGATAACAGTTTGAGTAGAAGTTTCACACACATTTTGTCATCAAGGTAAGGTAAATCCGCATATTACTTTTCATGAAGTTGTGTGATAGCAATTATTAAAAGTAAAATTGTTTATATTTCCCTAAGTTTGATGAGTAATGTTGTATTTATAACTATACTATGAGCACATGGTATCGTAGCAATATCAAGGATCATGAATCTCGAACACCAATGCATGAGCACACTATGAATCCACTCTGGACTATAAACCGACCCCTTGCAAAAATTGGCTACGAGCCTGACATGTATCAAGAAGTGAATGAGGTATTACTTATACTTACATTTACGATCTTTTGGTACAGCGCTGATCAAGAGAAGCGCAACACCTGCCACGAACAAGAAGCCAGCCATCGGTAGCCTCCTACCAATCTTCATGGTTATGAATATTACCAGAGTATTACCCAATATATCCATGCAGCCAGAAATGATTTGATTTATATAGGGGTCCCCACCGATATTTCCGGTATTCAAACTTAGACCGTAGTACACAAACGCAGTTGCAAACCTGAAATAATACAATGACATATGTAAAGTAAAGATGAGATTAATATTCAATTCGAATTCGATCAAGAATATTTCATCAATAATGAAATTAAGCCTCAGTCACATTTGATTTACGGTGGTCGCACGGCGGGCGTAGCCTCACAAAATCGATAAAATATACATCGTACTGCTTATACCTACATTTTATGTTGCATAATTCTCTCGATTTTGGGAAGCTACGGCCGCCGTACGGTTGCTGCAGACCAAATGTGACCGGTGCACTAAGTAAGTGGATTCGTCAAACTAATGCAACATACCATACAAAGGAAAAAATCAATGTACTGCGTCGTAAATACGTTGTCAAAAACAGATCTGTCAATTTTGGCTCATGAACCAAGTGTTCTGGTTTCTCAGTGACGTCATCTTCGAGAGGATCCGCCTTTGTGTCTAACAGTGACATCTGCAATGGCAAAGAGTATATAACTAGAACAAACCAAATGGATGTTGACCCTTTGATAATATGGACGAGATTGGTTTTGTCTGTTCCACATCATTTGAGACTCAATGTTTGCCCCTTGGTGTTATGGTCTCGGATTGTGATATTGGAACTTGAATTGTAGGGGAGAGAGTATAATACATGGTTTATTTTAACGTTCGATTATGATTTGGGATTGGGGTTTGTTTTCCTTATGACCGGTGTACTCTAAAATGCTCTTTAGCCATTTTTGGTACTTTCCCGTTGCACATGCGCATTTGTTACACATGATGAAAATGATTCAATTTGAGACGGCTATAAAATTACAAGGAACGTCCAAACTCTTCAAAATATAGAATATATTTTAGGAAGTATGTTGGCTGAAATTACTCGATCAATACTTTTTTGATCTCTGTCTTGCTTGAAATACTCCCGTGTAAAGACCACGTGCAGTATGGCAAGTGATTTTAGATGGTCATATCTTTCACCATAAGTACTTTCTGGGCATAAATACAGTGTTTTTATTAAAACGATATGTTTTCTTTCAAGTGAAGTACCCATGATGATAAAAATATAAATCAAACAATTCGAAAAATTATGAATAGGGACCCCATGTCAACATTTTTTTTATTATTCAAAAGAGGATCTTCTTTTTCTAATTTTTATTGCATGAAAACATTATTCTACAAAGGGGTCTAAGACATGTTCAAAAAAAGAATAGTGTTGAAAGTCTAGTTTGTAAGATACCAATTTTCGATGACCAAAATTATGCTGAAAACAATGGATAACACGAGTTTTCCCTATGGGAAAATAACATGGGATATGTGGTTTTTAACTTTAACTCATTTCGATCCCCTTTTTAATAAAGTGTAGAGGAGACTTTCGATATGTTTGAATTGAGAAAAACAAACTTTTTAGAAATTAAGCCTAACATTTTTCAAAAAGTGCCAAGGTGGGACCCTAATCCATAATTTTCAGAAAGTTGGATTGATATTTTACTATCATGGGAACTTCACTATAAAAGCCAGACTGTATTTATGGCCAGAAAGTACTCATGGTGAAAGATATGACTGTCTAAAATCATTTGCCATACTGCATGTGATCTTTTCAGGGCTATGCATCCTCGTTACATACTTCAATATGTTTGATGATATATTTACCTCTTGTTCTAGTGATTTTTCTAGTTTAACTCCATTTACTTTCGCCATAGTCTCAACGACCTTTATTCCATCTTTGACTCGTCCTTTACTAAAAAGCCAGCGTGGTGATTCAGGAAATATGCTAATAAAACAAGATAAATAATACTTTATTTAGAATTCATTTTTTGCATAAATAACAGGCTGGTTGTGATATATTCATCTTTGATTTCATTATATGGAATACAATACCCGTTCGCCCTAAGGACTTCTAGGCTTCAATATGCTTCCTGGTCAACTCAACCCCAAGTCAACTCAACCCAAGTCAACTCAACCCTTAGTCAAGTCGACCCCAAGTCAAGTCGACCCTTAGTCAAGTCGACCCTAAGTCATCTCGACCCTTAGTCAACTCGACCCCAAGTCATCTCAACCCTTGGTCAACTCAACCCTTAGTCAAGTCGACCCAAATGATTTTACTTGTTTTAAGTAGATTAAAATACAATATAATCCAATTGTTTGTGCAGTTTGATTTGAAATCAAACTTCAAAGAAAAAAAACATTTCTGTTTAGTTTTTTTAGTTTAAATATACGATCAAAACGAAGATTTAAACTGGATCATAAAATCCCAATCTGTTTGTTTATGACACCTGACATATGAGTAAGATAATGGAAAATAGAAAAACATAAATCCCATTGTTTGTTCAGTCTTGTTTTAAAATCTTACTTCAAAAAAATAAACATTTCTATCGCCTGTAGATCAGAAGAGGGATTTGAACCGGATCATATTGTTTATTATTATTATCAAAATATAAAATCATTCAATACAAAGTAATGGATGGATGTTGGCACAATGCACATGTTGCATAAATTACCTGTTGTCAAAAATACTGTTGCAACAATTTTGGTATAACAGAAAAGTGTATAGATAATTTTTTTATTTCAGAGAGATTAAACAAGCTCAAATATTAAGGGGTGAAATATATGTATAGCATCGTGAATAGTCCTATTAAGATTAATCAAATATTATTTTGTTATTTATAAAAATTAAAAATGCGTTAAGCACAAACTTCAATAGTTGATAATTTTATTTTGGAAAATTAGCATTTTAGTCCCTCATTCTTTCAAAATTCATCAATATCATACCATGAAAATAGTATATCTATTTGTTTTTTATGGTGGGGTCGAGTTGACTAAGGGTTGAGATGACCAAGGGTTGAGATGACTTGGGGTCGAGTTGACTAAGGGTCGAGATGACTTGGGGTCCACTTGACTAAGGGTCGACTTGACTTGGGGTCGACTTGACTAAGGGTTGAGTTGACTTGGGTTGAGTTGACTTGGGGTTGAGTTGACCAGTTACCTTCAATATTAACTGCAACGTATATTTTTGATCCTAGCGATCGGAATGATTGAGTGATTGAGTGATTCTAGCAACAAAACGTTTCAGGGGGAATTGATATTGTGCCACTAAATATAAATACAATATTTTTGACATCTTATCCTGGTATTTATACAAAAATAGGATACATACGAGGGGGGATTCATAAGTAGTGGAACATATGCTATAACTTCACTTATATCAACCAAACTTTATTTAAACTTGGAACACAGAACCACAAACATGTGATAATCATTGTGTGAAAATTTCAAAAAGTTACACCCAACTTCAGTAAAGTGAGAGTTCCAATCATGACGTCACAACAGGGTCCACGGAGCATATTGCTTGTCACTTATTGCTAGTTAAATATACAAGTCTCAACTGATATTCAGGACGTGATCTAATCCGTGACTTCTAGCGAGTCCTTTTGTGGAGCAAATCAATTCTGTGCAAGACTATTGATTCCTTATCCTTCTGGTGCAATCTCACTCTTTCTCAAAGTATTCACCATTACAATCAATGCATTTTTGGCATCTCCTCAACCATTCTAGGTATGCACCCTCAAAACCATATTTTCCAAGATTGGTTATCTCGGCTCTCGCAGCATATTCAGAATACATATACAGAATACTACCTATATACTGTAGATTTTTTTACTTCTTCTTTCCCATAGACTTCCAACAAACCTCTATAGGTCTCTAATACTGAAAACTTCTTCAAAGCATTAAATTTAATCACAGCACGGATGTTTATACGTGAATCTTGCTTTTTCATCGCTATTTTAATCAAATTTTGCTCCATCCAAGAAGGACTGAAAATGGCAGTGTCCTGGTGTCACTGCTTTGTGTGCCATCACAATAGCATGATGATGTAATATATGTTACAGTTGTCATGACTACAAGGCTTGAGACAATATGAAACCAAATATTTGAAAATAACAGTCATTTTGAGATATTTATGAGCATATTTATGTTGATCAAGCCCTTCATTTTTTAACTGCTCCGTTAACCCCTACTTTTGGTTACCATAGCAACCATTGTTGCTAGGGAACAAAATGAATTAAATTGAAATTTCACCAAACAATACCTTATATCCCAGTCCGTTCATGTGCCAAATTTGGTTGAGATATGTACACAGGGACTTGCTGCCTCAGAAAAGTCCAACTACTTATGAATCCCCCCTCGTACTAGTTAAAAATCAAAATATTCCGATCTAATTGGAGCAAAGAATCGTATAGATGGAAGTTAACTACTAGGTTGTTGTTCACATCTGGCCCATTGGTTTGTGTGTAAATATTGCTGTTTTCAAACTTCAAATTCACTACATTTATCAAATAAATGTCAAATCTTCCTTCATTATTATTTACAAACATGTTTTATGGTTTTGAACATTTTCAATAACATTTATCTTGGGAGATTTTTAGAGCAATCTTTACATGTTAAAGTATGCTATTAAACCCACTTAATTTTATGCCATCTATTGACAGTCCTGAAGATCTTACGGAACTACCTGAAACAATAAATATAGCACTTACAACATATAAACGAGGAATATCGCCATAGGACATGATGAAGCCAACTGTACACCTCGCCAAGTTCTTACTCCATATCCTATTCCTCCTAGTACCATTTGACCAACAGCGAACCCATTAAAGAACATGATAGCAGCGGTTACACGCCACTTTTTACCCACTATCTCTAAAACTAAATTGAAAAAGCTATAAAAAGGCTAGCCCCGCCGGATTCTTGAAAAATGTTATATCTGTTTTTATCCAGTATTAAAGAACGAACACAAATGCATATTTCGACACGTTCTCAGGGCTATATAATACGAATACAAGTGCTGTACTACTTACTCCAGATTGTAAGAGCTGTGACAAGCCCAGAGAAGAGAAATGCGATGAGGAATCGGCTGATCGCAAACACAATATAGTTAGGGGAGTAGGCCGATCCAATTGCGATAACAAGGTGCGTAACTAGGGTGACGAAGACCATAATCTTTCTTCCATATCTACAATTTTTTAGAATTTTTAAGGGTATTATCAGATCTATCGAGCAATATTATTAAAATTAATAAAAGTTAGTTGTTCCATTTTGTTATATAGACATAACGTCTGCTCCTCGGCATTGACTGTTTCTACATGAACTTATTTTTTATTATCAAAAACTGAAAGTGAGAGGAATTGAACACGTACTTATTTGATGAACACATATTTTGATCGGTATTAATAGTCGAGGATAATTATCAGGAGCCTTCGTTAAAATGTTTAAAAATAATAATGAAAATCGACCATTTTGCAATTTCTGAGTTCAAAAATGATTTATGCGAAAATCTTGTGAAAACGACCGGTTTCCAGACATAAACTGAATAAGGCGATGTCATCCCCTGACACTGGATATGTTGCAATTTATTTTTTGGTCCCTTTGATATGTCAAGTTTTATTTAATTGAACCATTCTATTAATATTTGTCATCCATGTACTGCAATTCATCTACTATTTACTCAGTCAATTCTATTTCACGCAAAAACAAAAAACTATTGAGAATTCTTGTTTTTATAGCCATTAATTCTACTTTGGGTCATAAAAAACAGACGATATTCTTTTCTGAAAATATCTATTTAAATAAAATACAAATGAGTAGCCAATTTCAATTGATCACGGGTCATCTCATAAAATAATTCATAAAATCAAAGTCATGTTAATTATACACGGATAATTCATAATATTATGACACTGCGTATGGCAATTGTCATCGAGTTTCCAGAAGTATGTTACAAAAGTGAATTATACATTCTCACTTTAAATTTAATTTCATGGAGGGAGAGGCTTTAGGAAAAAAATGAGGGGAGGGGGTTGTGTGCCTGCTTGTCATATCAATATTCCTTTTTTTATCCAAGGGAATCCAAGGTTGACCCCTGCATCCAAAGTTCATTGCCCACACAATTTCGAATCGGGACGATTTACATAAAAAATAATATCGGTGGTGTAGTGAATTAGGGAGTTCGGTGAAGATATCCATGATGATGATAAAGCATGCAAATGGAACGCCACACTTGAAAAACCGTGCCTACAGGTCCAAATCCTTGATTGTTGGATCACAAAGTCCTATCACAACGCTTTAATCATACTGACTGCTAAATCTTTGAAGTGAAGTGTACAGGGTGGTCAAAAAATCTGAACCCTTGCAATAAACTATATCTCAGTTACTAGTTGCATTAATGGGCTGATATTCTCACATATTTTAGAAGAAAGTCTAAAATGTTTGTGGGTTCCATAAAGGTCACTTAGTCTTACGTCTTTCAGAAGTTACCTGTTGCAAGGGTTCACTTTTTTGGACCACCCTGAATAATTTGGTTCATTGAGTTTTAAACAGTCGTTTAATAATGAATTTACACATCGCTGGGAAGGTGTGTCCGATTCCAGCCAATCCGAAAAGAGTATTCACATAATGTACAATGTGTGAAATATCAATAACACATACAAGGTCGCTAGTTAAACAGTTGTCATGGTGATGAATGGATTTTTCCAATTGGATTTAATGACTTGCCAACTTGACCCTTGCAAAAAATTCATTAAAAATGTGTTATTTTAGTGATTTTGTTCTTTTAGATGATTTTATAGAAAAAAATTGCAATGTGTGACAAGAATTTAAGCCCATGACACAATGCATTGTAGCTGCTTCATACCACTCAGGCGTTGTTTCCTAAGCTTTACATTCCCGCGGTCATGCAAAGGTTTGGAAACACCACCCTCATGGTATGATTCAGCAAACAATGCATTGAGTCTTGGGCTTAAATCCTTTAACATTCGTTTCCCTTCTATACGATATGAAAAAGCAGCTTGGTGATTACAACAACGTAAACGACCTAATGTGTTAAATAAATAATATATACAAAATGTTAGACAATAATAACTCATTACATAATAGAAGTTGCGAATATCACAGGACTATACATACCTGTCGCTAAGGTAACCACAAATAATAGAGCCAAACAATCGTCCTGCCATATATATTGATTGAGTGGTTGGACCCAAGACACGGTCATTACAAACGAGGTCCCACTGAAAGTGAAAGATGTGGTTAACCCCCGGGGGTACTCCCATATATTGGCTATGTCGGGACGTACCGCTAAAGATGGTCACTTTTTCGCCGAAAATCCCTAGATATGGGTCCCATTTTGAAAAAAACCTAGATATGGGTCCCATTTTGATGAAAAATCCCTACAACTGGGTCTACTTTTTGAAAAATCCTAAAACTGGGTACTGTTTTTGAAAAATCTCGCCGGAAGTGGGTTTTGATTTTTAAAAATTACCTTGAGGTGGGTATATTTTTGGAAAGAAAAACCCTAGATGTGGGTCCATTTTTAGAGAAAAAATCCCTAGATGTGGGTAGATATTTTGAGTCTCAGCGGCACCCCCATGTACAAAAATTTGACCAGTACCTCCCCCCGGGGTTAACCAAGAGAGTCAGGTGGTTTTAATGAAATACACAATTAGTTTGTTGTTTTCAAGCCCTTCAATAATTTCAACGTTGATGGCAAATATTTGAGGTTCATGGTGTCATATTAAAAACGTATGGGGGAGAAGTAATGGGATGCAATGAATAAGAGCAAAAATATGCAATGCTAATCATTTTTAAATGTATGTCTCTCGCGCATCTCTCACTCGACCCATCTCCTTAACCCAACGTTCAATAATCTTCATTTCAAGTATTATAGTAAGCAATATTTTTACACAATGTTATCTAATTTTGATAGTGGTAACCTAATAATATTTGCACTACGTTTTTTATGTACATGGTATACTCACCTCGGATATAATGGTTGTCTGGTATATACTTGTATCATACAACCACCCGCTACATTCCTCAATGGGCAAATCGTCGGGTTGTGTAAAGTTCTCTTTAATATATTCATCAAGCCAGAGTTGCACATCATTTTTGCCGATCGAGGAATAGTTCCGACGATACTGTCCGCAATTCATGTATTCACGTGTTCCATCTTTTACTTCATACGGTATGGTGTAATTTCTCAGTTCATCTTTGGTTAGATTAAACGCAGATAACTCAGCCGATGGTGCGCAAAAATGGTCTTGCTTTGCACCTATGTAGACGTAGTTGATATTATGGAACGCCGATGGGATCTCAATTAGTGCTAATAAGAATATAGCAAGTATTTGGTACCTTCCCATTCCTCCAATTTCATCAAGGATTCCATCGAACGTCTTCATGTTTGCGTTTCAAGTACCCGCAGTGCGTTGTATTATCTTTTTATGAATGGTCGTTTTCCTATTGGGTTTAAGGTAGTTGTACAAAGGTAATCTCAAAGTAATAACGTAGGATCAATATTTCACATGCTGTAAAATGTTAAACCAACATAATGGCTTATACATTTGAATAAAACGTAAAGCATTGCATAGCTGTTATATAAATCAAAAAAATATAAATCCGAAATATGTACACAAATTGGTTATGGAACATAAGTACAGGGCGTTCAATAAGTATTGCTAATTTTGCTATAACTTTTTTTCTGTTTGCTTTTTCATCATGGAACTTTCACAACATAAGGTACATATATCTGACTTTAGCCAATAAGAATTTCTGAAATCCATTAAAAAGCTTGCATCGTGCCACTATTGGGTGATAAAGTGTATTTCATACATATTTAGGTCCGAGTCACAGTGTATCTTCGGAGCGATTGCCAAGGTCCGTGGCCGGGTTGGGTACAGGCTGAATTCATCCCAGCCCCGCTCCTGAAAAGCGAATTCAATAAAGATGTATTTCAAATTTATGTTGCATTATCCAGCTAGGCAGACCAATATATGACCGAAAAGTGCAGTTCGTGTTTGCCTAATACAAGTGACATCTATAAAGTGAACCTGTTTTATATTATGTCAAACTTTGAATTTACTGAACACATCGTTAGTGACTAGGAAATATAGGTACCCATCATTGTGTATAGCTACCTTAACTACGACGTTCATGTGTCCATTGTGTCCGGGTCTGATTTAAGATCTTTTCAGATAGCTAACCGCCCGAATGAATTTGTTAAATAGACACTCCACTACAATAGGCTCTTTATAGAGATGAACTAAACTAACCACTTGAAAAGGGATGACATTTAAACAGCCTATAGAAATATATAGACATCGAAAGTGTATTTCTTTCTTTGAACAAGCAAACAATTCACAAGTAAAGACTGTTAGCTACACCCTCTCAAATAAGTTTAACAATCAGTAGTTCACTGAATCGGGTGTAAAAGCCAGTCTATGTTTGGCGATTAAAATGATCTTTATTTTCTCGTTTTACCGCGCTAATGTTACCCGTTGCATTCGTTTGACTTCACTTCTTAAAAGAGAGCTTCGTCTAGTGAACTAAACTCTGCACGCATGGTACGCTATTTAAAGGAACAAGAAAGATTTAATCATTAACAGGATTTAGCGAACTATCAATTGAAGACCCCTGGTTGCTAATCTTATCGAGGGGAGTGTGAAATAAATGAGGGGCAACACTAGTTTAACTGAAAGACAAACAGCATCCCGTTGTCTTGAACTTTTGCCGGTAGCACACCCCATACATTTATCTATCAGTGGCGTAGCTAGCAAAATTGGTGACCAGGGGTTCGATTTTTTATGTTATCCACAAATCTCCCCCTTCATCGGTGTACCTCACATAAACGATTTTTTTTGTATTTGTCACACATACAATTCATTCTTTAGAGTTCATTCACAGATATGTCGAATTCTGATACATGCAATTCCCACACTGTTAGCTGAATTTTGAAAAGATTCCAAATCAAAAGATTTTTTTTATTATTCAAACTTAAAATGTATACATATAGTTGAGATAGGTCATTACCCATTCAAAGATTTTTATTTGCTATTTCATTGTGTTAGGCGCACAGTGGCAGATGACAAATAGTATTGTTAGTACCTCAGTTGAAATACTCGATTTTGATTGGTCAACGAGCGGTGAATAATTTTAACTGTACACCGCTCAATGCATTGCCGGTGAATAATATTCCCAGCATTCCACTAAAATGACGTCATTATCATACGATAAAATGGCCGCCGCTAGCACTAGCCGTTTCAAAAATGTTGAAGATGAGGATATTATTAGTCTCTTAGAGAGTAAAGACAGTCAAAATACGAAGAAAAATCTAAAACTTTGTACAAAGCTTTTAGTGGACTTCGCCCAGGAGAGTAATTTGACTCCATTGAGTGAACTTACTGCCGATATACTGAAATACAACATGAACGTCTCGAGGGTCTGGATCCAACTTCAAGTCAACTTCAAGGGTCAGAAAAATCTAAGATATTCTTCGGACTAACAAAACAATTATAGACCTCTCCATTCGGTTTACTGTCAAAATTATATCCCTCGACTGTAAACCTCGACCTACGGTCTCGGTTTACAGTCTCGGGATATAATTTTGACAGTAAACCTCTGGAGAGGTCAATAATTGTATATTGTACTCGTATTACTAATGGAATGAAACATAGTCTGAAATTCCAAAAGACCCAAATTGAAATAACAATATATAATCCACTATGCTCACATTAAACATTTCTTTTAAAGGAGTGGTACCGTTATGGAGAACATTTTGAACACACGTTTCCGTTTCTCTTAAACCAGTCATGAAAATCGACATAAACTCAACATGTTTAGGTCTCTCAATACTGTAATTGTACAAAGGAAATTTTGGTACGTTGATTTTTAAAAAGTATCTTGTTAATGAAATAAAAGAGTTATCTTGATTTTTATCTATTTGGGGGGAATTTTGTTTCAACTTTTTGAATACTTTTTTTAAAATCAACCAAAAATTCCTTTGTATAACAATAATATTGAGAGGTCTAAAAACATGAACGAGTACGCTATTGGTACACATTTGAAATCGCCAATATAATTAAGACGTCTATAAAGATCTCGGTCTAGTTTAACATGTATTTCGACATAACCTATAATAATTTTTATATACCCTTCTTGCTATTATATAAGGCAATTATTCGAACTTAATTTTATGAAATATCCTCTATGATTATTCAATTTACAGCCCTTCGAAATAGAATAGCTCCCAATTGAATAAAAACACCATTAAAGGCGTGTTCAACGTTTTAACACGGAACGAAACGAAATGGCCATGTAGTATGTTTAAGTATATATTTTTTGAACTGTTCCATCAATGTTTATGATATTTTCAGGTTAATACCCAATTTTATGGATCAACAATTCTATCGGATATAGTACTGAGTAAGATTACTAGGGGTTAGTAATTTGGTTTTCTCTATAAAAAGTCATTTTTCTCCTTCCCGACCCCATTGGAGCGCCATCTGGCGTTTGGGAAGTGAATCGGGACTAAATATCTAGTCCTAATTTATCTGAAAACATGCCAAAGTTCAGTGGGAAATCTCATTTTAAGCTGGGGGCGGAGTGATTTTGACCTTGGTGATTTTACCAGAATCTATGTATTTATCTCAAAAATTCGGTGGACAACCCATGGTAAGATTGTTATAGCAGGCTAGGCGAGTCTCTCCCAAACACTGTGGTATGTTGCACTAGGCTTGGATACTAGTCGTTAATAAGAGACAGGGTAAAATGTTATAATGACCATCTATGGGAAACTTTTCTGGAGTCTCCAACCTATTAACCTTTTCTGGGGTATTTTGTAGGTTTTATCCCTTTTTGAGTTTTTTTAGTTCATAAATAAGTCTAATATCGCGTATCATATTAAAAGGCTGCATCTTAGCTGAACAATGGTATCAAAATCGTGACATTTTGAAGCAACTTTGGCGTTTTGGGGGCGAGGCCACTGTGCCAAGTACACCGAATTCGATTCTCCCGTGCCATTCAATTGTTTTCGGGCCAGTTTTGAATGAAACTTTGTTTCTTCCTACCGTTATGACGTCATAAGCTAAGATGCAATCGAACGCCTTGACATGGATATCACTCGAAAGATAGTAGAAATCGCTTTCCAATTATACCCAAAATAGCCATGTTCACCTCAGTTGAATGTACTCAATCTGTAAGGTGTACCCCAACCCAAAAGAAAGAAAGACGAGGGAGAGTATCGCAACAGATTTGGGACAGTCATATGTTGGATTTTGGCTATTTTCTGAGGATTTAAACAGGTGTATATGTTCGACCAATGCCTTATCTCCAGGAAAAGCACCCATAGAGATGATGAAATAATTTTGACTTTGAGACAGGGAAGATGCAAACAACCCACCCATATGTTTTTTTCTAAAATGTTGTCCTGATTTTCAATCCCTTCCACACCTGTTTTTTTTTCAATTTTTGTTGCATCAAAATGTTGCAATTGAAGACACAGTTAACCCCTTAAACGGAATAAGTAACTCATCTTTGATGAATTGAAAAACAATATTTCCCATGTTATTTTCCCATAGAGAATGCGATCCATTGCTTTCATCTAATTTTGGTCACCCATAATGGATATCTTTAAATCCCCTCAAGCAGTTGCTTATTCTCTGAAAGGGTTTAATTGTGTGTCAACATATTGATGCAAAAGCATTTGAAAAAACAGGGGTGGGAGGGGTCGAAAATCAGGAAAACATTTATAACTTTTAAGGAAGAAAATAAAATGATAGGCCGCTAAGAAAAAGAAAAAAAAACATTTTGAGGTTTGCGTTTACGTTACGCCTAAAGTGCTCAGCTTAAAGCACTTTTGTTCGTAAAACGTAAACGGGAACATAAAGGTTCAGTTTATGTTTGCGGTTCACGTCATAAAAATCCTCTTGCTTAACCTCTCCCAACAGCTATTGTTGCAACCTTAATTGCAAGTGACTCGTGTTCAACTCCGACACTGGTGATCCGCTCGATTACGCTGGTCGTTTTGGTAACAAAATGTCGGAACGTCGAAGGTACGATTTTTCTTTTTTCCTTATTTCACGCGTTGTAGGCAGAATCCCAACGACGTTTTTTCTCACAAACGTGTATCAGCATCATATATTTTGGGTTAAAAGTGCAGATCTTAACTGTTTTTCGAAAAACCGTTTATGTAACTTAAGTGAGGGATTAAATCGACGATTCTGTTGTCTTCTGGACTATTTGTTCGCAAATATGTACATTTTCTTAAACATATGATACTGATACACATTTGTGTTAAAAATATCGTGGGAATTCTGCCTACAACGTGTGAAATAAGGAAAAAAGAAAAATCGTACCTTCGATGTTCCGACATTTTGTTACCAAAACGAACCGTTTCGGTAACCAGCGTAATCGAGTGGATCACCAGTGTCCGACTTATTCAGCCTGCGTATAGTACTTAAATGTAGATTCTGTGAGTTATATAGCAGTTTATGATTCGGTCGTTATATTGTTAGACCGGGAAAAGTCTCACGAATATA